CACAGCAAAACTATCATGTAGCCATTAAAGGTCAAAAATTTTAGCAGTGAACATCACACATAGTGGTAATGCTACAGGAGAGGGAAAATATCATAAATCACGTTAAGGTCAGTGCACTGTATGTGCAGTGCTACACAATATGTCTCTGCGAGACAAATTATGCTGGAGACAGGCATGTTTTATTAAGTTATATTTGTATATACACTACTGGAGATGTACATGCAGAATCTCAAATGACAGTAGTGGCCTCTGTTTGGAGTGTAATATTAGTCAAAACCATGCATCCATATTTATATTTAACTTAGTGGTTCTACTGCGCTAGTATTAATTCATATTTCACACATGCAGCTCAGGAGATGTTAGGCTGTATATGGTTATGCAATCCCATCTGCAACATCATGAAGTTGTAGATACACTTTATCAGTCTGAACTCAAAGCATCAACATTTGGTCTATCTATGGTTTATACCATTTAATATTAATGTTATCTGTTGCAGTGATTGATGCTATTTTCTGTACTCTGCAAGTGACATTTTTAAATTATATACAATACCGTAGCTTTAGATTTTCCATCCTAATTAAAAACATTTCACTTCTCTTGTGATAATCTGTCTTAAAAAATAAAGACTGAGTTAGGGGGCGTGCAAAAACATGATGTAGTTCTTTGTATTTGACTAAGTGAGCACACTTATGCAAACCTACTCAGTCTGCTACAGCTGACTTCCCAACTCTATTATCATATTGTAGTTATTAATGTATGATTGACCTATTTAAGTAATGGTATACATTTATCATTCTCTATGCTTTGTGATTGCATATTTATTGCTCGCACGTGCTTCCTCTCCGCCCTCTGTCCTTCTCTTATTTTCTTTTTCTCCTTTTTCATCATCACTCCCTGTTCTGTCTCTCCCTCTCTTCCCCCCTGCGACACAGCCTCTGTCTCTCTCTTTGCTGAGGTGGCTGTACCTGCTGTGACTTTGACAAAGTAGTCTCCACACGTGTAGTGGTGTATTTCTCCCTCTGTGTGTATGTGTGTGTGTGTGTGTGTGTGTGTGTGTGTGTGCATTCGTGTGTGTGTGTTGATGCAAGGCTGCACAATAGTGTTTGTGTGCACGCGCTTCTTGCACTAGCTTCATTTTTAGTTTGCAAATTTGTCTGACTGTTGCGTTTCTTTAAATGTGCACATTGAACACATGCAGCGTGCATCTGTGTGTGTGTGCTTGTGTGTGTATGTGTGAGCATATTGCAGCATATTTGCACCTACGTCCACTGCTTATGTCATACTATATACTCATCTGTGTTGTGTCCTCCATTATACTTCACTTTTTTCATCCCTCGCTCTCTTGCTCACCTTGTTTCTCCCCATGTGCTCCTCTTCTCTCGCACTTCATCCATTCTCCCCTTTGCTCCCCCACCACCTCCCTCCGCTTGTCTCCACCCTCTCTGTCCCCTCCCTCATGTTTCCTCCTTCCTCTCTCTCTCTCTCTCATTGATAGTGAAGCATTTGTGACTAGAATACTGAGGAGCTAATCATTATTCCACGAGCAGAGTGCAGTGCTCGGGCAGAATGTCAATGCACCCCCCACCCCCCTTCCCTCTGTCTTCCCCTCCCTCCCCTCTTTTGCATGCTTTCCAAGCAATAGTTAACACGGGAGCCACATTTGTGTTCTACAAAGAGAAAAAGTGAGGGAACGCTCTTACAGCGAATACGCATTCGCAAACACCGGGCTTGTAACACCTGCAGCGAAGTGTATGTGTAATAGTTGAGTAAGATTTACATTTGTGCTGTGGATGGTTATTTGGAGTGTGTGTGTGTGTGTGTGTGTCTATGTCTATGTGTGTGTGTGCTACGTAGTTGTTATGTAAAAGCGCTCCACATCAATTTGTCAAGAGCAAAGTGGTGTGGGATGGAGATGAGAGAGAGACAGCTGTTGAATGCATATTTAGAGAGAGGAGGGAGACCAAAACAGAGAATGACAGCAGACTTTCAGTTAATGCAGTGAGGCCTAAAAAAATCACCAGTAGTACTAAGTTAAATTGCCTGATTTTCTTTCTGAATATTGTTTTATCAATATGTACTTTAAACATAAAAAGACTGGGGTATAATCTGCAGACAGTCACTCTTATAGAGCAGATTCAGTGTCACCTAGTCGTGCTGAAAACCAAGAGAGGGGTAAATTAGACCAGAGGTGAATTAGACAACACACACACACGCTGGGACTGCGGGGCGTGTGTCAGTGTGTGTGATGGAATGGGAGAGACAGCACATGGAGACTCCTCCTGACTTCCTGAAAACTGCAGCTGTGGGTCACAGCCAGGGGTAAAGCTGTGTACGCAACCCTCCCAACCCTCAAACACACACACACACACCACGTGCACCGAACCCAATAAAGAATTTTAGATTTGCAAGTCGGGCGGATGCAGAAACAGTCATATCCAAATGTCCGCACACACACGCACACATACGCACACCGAAAAAAAAAAGTCATGGCCTAAGGGAACCTCTGGCGTGACATGGCTGCCGTCTAACAGGCTCAAGCATGAGTGAGTAATAGGTGTTCCAGCACTGTCCGCCCACTGGACAAAGACATCTTGAGATGCGCATTATTTTATGAGATGCAAAGTGAATAGGTGAAAACACGATGTAGCATTGGGTGGGGGGGCTGTTTGAGACCAAAGCAGAGGAGACAGCTCAGCATTGTCACATACTATATTTGCTTCCCTGTTTGATTAGGGGACAGCTTAGTGGACGAACCAGAGTTGATTTATCCAAAGGCTCAAATCAGAGGGTATTAGTCAATATGGGAGACACAAATAGGCCCTAACTTTACATCACGTCACTGTGTATATAAGATATTCGGTTGGACTGGATCATTGTGGATTAATTAGCAATGGACGCACAGCCGATTTAGATGTTATTGTGTTCATTTAAAATCTAACAGCAGTCTTGTAACTGAACATCTCTTTTAAAATCTTAACTTACAAATATCACTGTAGGGCAACCCAGTGTTGTCACTAGCAATTAAAGAGCCACCTCATGCACAGAGTGACAAAATCAATGATTCAACACACTGTGGTGAGTTTAATAACCTTGGAGGACATGAAATGCTAAGGGAGCATCGGGGCTGCAAGGTTAAGGAAAAGATCTATATTGAAAAGGCTACTTGGACCGACCGGAGCACCAGAGAGGAACAAAGGCATCATAAGGCCAACGTCCCAGTCTCGTTAGGGGGGATGAGACAGCGTAGCGTGATAGAAGTGGGATATGGGAGTCAGGCAGTGACATCATATAGTGTGAGCGGCTTCTCTGGAGACTGCTGTCTGCTTGCAGTGGGCTCATGCTGTTGTGGAGTTGTGCCTTATATGAGTGAACATTATAAATAGTGAGGAGGATGTCAGCTCCATTCAAGGGAGTCCCACATGAAGTGTCAGGGTGCTCTGGTGAGAGGAGAGAAGATTTTCAGCAATGTGTGACTGTACTGTATGTGTGCATGTGTACAACCAGTGGTGGAAGAACTATTGAAATCATTTATTTAAGTAAAAGTAGGAATACAACAAAAGTAGAAATACAGCAATATAAAATATGTAAACTATATACTCGCTGTGCAGTAAGGTGCTTTACAGAGTATTGCCTTTCTATTATGCATTAATGTGAAAACAGCTTTTTAATTTTGTGGACGGTTAAATTAAAGATAATTTTAAGTACTTCATCTACTTTATAGCATATAAACCAACAGCTGTATCATAAAAAATTTAAAAATGCATCATATGTTTTAAGCCGATAACATGTTTTGTATGTGAAATTGTAATCTAAAGGGCGGCCTTGTGGCCTAGGCGTTGGTAATTGCCATAAACTGCAACATAACTGCCTGTCATTCTCCAGCTGTCAGCTGCCCAATAGAGACATAAAATGCCCAAATCAAACAACAAACAAAAACATCTCAATAATCAAACACTGAACGTCCTGCATTCTGGTGAATTGTTATTTATTCACCAAATTGTGCCTTTTCTTCATCAATTTATGGTGTAAATGTCTGTTATTTTCTAAAACAAAATCCTCTGCTATTTCTGTATTTTTATTGAGATGGACAAATGCACATGTTCTGAATATCGAAGGGGACGTGTACCCTGCGTTTCCCAAAAATTCCAGTAAATTAGAGTAGATCTATTTAGTTACATTCCACCATTGTGTACGCCTGCATGCACATTTGATCTAATCTCCTGCTTCAATTGGATTTATGCTTGTGTGTGTGTGTGTGTGTGTGTGTTTACCTCCTCTACCCCTGGTTATGTTTGTGCATATCAGTGACATTATGTCAATATGTGCCCCAGTATCTGAGCCCAATTGCATGTTTACATCTGATTGCGCCGTGGGCGTGTGTGTGTGCGTGTGTGTGTGTGTGGGTAGATATGTATATGTTTGTGTGTGTCAGTGCGTTATGTGTGTCATAGGGTATGAGGCAAGTCGTGTGGTGGTGTGATAGTGTTTGTCACCCTGAGCATGTAGCCATGTCAAACTCTGTCAGGGTAGTTTACCCTGGCTAGGGATGTAACACATCCCTATGATTACTCTCTCTGTTTGGCGTGTGTGTGTGTGACTGTTTCGGATAGTGTGTGTTTCCTTCATGGCCAGTTTTTTGCCTTTCCCCTTATTTCAAATGCTTATCGCAGAGATTGACAGAGAGAAGAGAGAGGGTGGTGGTGGTGGTGGTGGTGGTGGGGAGGGGGAGGGGGGGGGGGGGGGGGGGGGGGGGGGGGGGGGGGGGGGGGGGGGGGGGGGGGGGGGGGGGGGGGGGGGGGGGGGGGGGGGGGGGGGGGGGGGGGGGTTGAGTTGATATTCATCTTTGAGAAAAAATACCTAGGAGGGAGAGAGAGGGAGAGTAACGGAGTGGGTGCTGGGAAGGAGGAGGGAGGGAGGGGAGAGAGTGGGAGGGTGCCGTTTGAGAGAGGGAGAGAGAGAGAGAGAGAGAGCGCGCTGATTAGATTGGAGAAAGCCAAGGAGGTACGGGTATACTATTGAGCAAGGGAGAGACAGAGAGGCAGAGGGGAGGGTGACTAAGTGAATGCAGTTTGCCGTCGCGTGTCGCCAAATCACAGCAAAGTCCACAGGCAGGAGGACGAATTGGAACTGAATCAACAAATGGATACAGAAAAAACTGGATGTACACTGCATATGAGGAGACAGTAAGGGAGGACGCCTTCGTATCCTTTTATCTCTGCATCAGATACTGCTGTGAGGAACCCATGGGGAGGGAAAGGAAAAATAGCGGACAACTCATTTCTCTCTAACACCCCTGGAAGCCGGGGAGCTGAGAGCTGGAATAGAGTCGACTGTGGGACTCGCTGGGATTGAATATATGCTCAGTAAGTATTTATATAGGCTGCAAATATCAGTGTGTGAGCGTGTGTATGTGTGTGTGGATTGATGCCTCTGGCTGGAGCACTGCCTCTGATGCTTTTTTCATGAAGAAAGAGAAAATAAGAGAGGAAGAAAAGAATGCAAATGCAGTTGTGCTGCAATGTCTCCTCTTTTGTGATATGCTCTTTGCATCACTGAACAGCTTTTTTTCTCCCTGCTAATTTAAACAACTACCCCAGACTTGACTCTGTGTGTTTGTGCCTTTTCCTCCACAGTGCCGGTGTGAGTGTGTGTGTGTGTGTGTGTGTGTGTGTGTGTGCTGATATTAGCAGCCCCATTGGTATTCAGCGGAGGGAGCTCCAGGATCTCGCTGCGCCTTTCCCCAGGATGGGATCACAGAGCAGGGATTGTGTTCGCCTGTGGAGAGCCCGCTGAAATGGGTGAGTGTCCGTCCTCCTCTTCCTCTTTTTTTCCCCCTCTCTATACATCCTCTTTCACCTCTCGTTTTCTTGTTTCTTATGTATCTGTCTGCCTCCTCGTCTTCATTCTGCAGTTAAGCTCAGAGCATTTTCACCACTGATGGATCTTCCCTTGGAATCCTTGAGTCTCTCACCCACTCGCACTGTCCAGCCCACCTTCCTACCACTCCCCCACCTGTTTCCCTCCATCCTTCCCTCCGTCCTCTTTTAATCCAGTATCCATCTCTCTTCACCCTCCCTCCATCGAGACATAAAGAGGCTTGTCCAGTTTGATGGATATGGATTAAATCTGAAAAGCTCACTTCAATTTGTTGCTTCTTCTCCCCCTTGTTCCCTCTTGCTTCCCTCTCTCCTCCCCTCTTTGGCTGTGTCACCCCTCCCCCCCTTTCCTCCATCCCTCTCTCGGTCTCTTCAAGCTCCTCTCCACATTCTGTTTGAATTCAGACACACCGTTTGAGTTTCTTTCCTGACACAGGCAATGAATGGAGATGCTGTTTGTGTGTGACAGGATTGCTATTTCTGTGTCTGTGTCAGTCATTTTGATGGCGTTTCATGTGTGTGCGTCTGTGACACAATGCAGAGAGGGCAGAGGTGTGTGTTCAGCCTCAGTGTGTGGGATTGGTGGAACAGAAGGTTATGAAGTAGATCAATGTGTTTAATTGCTTCAGGCACAACAGCTCTGACATGTCCACATACACACATACACACACACACACACACAACACCTAGACGCTGTCACTTGTCTGACACGCACCTTCGTCTCTACACTCCTTGCTGGTATACCTTCTGCACACCAATTCACACCCACCTACATCTTTTCACACGTGCGACACACACACATGCAGACACTGAGCAGTTACCTTACCAGTGAGCCAACACACACGCACACACACACATGGTCTTATCCTAAATGGTCCTAGGAGGATAGGAGTGTCACAGGAGGGTCATATCTAGCCACACAGCAGTATTGATCGGAACTGTTACACTGAATGTCCCCTAATGTTTCATTTTAAATGGACCATCACCTCACTAGACTGTGGAAAAAAAAGCAGAGTCACTAAACCTTTTTAATGATTTCGTTTTGTTCTGGTAAATGAGACGATATTGTCACTGCGTGGTTGACATCTACGTTGAAAGCAGTGCGTGCTTTTTCTGTGCTGTTCTGAATTAAGAAGATAGTCATCACTCAGCTATAAACTGTGGGCTTTTTGATTAGAATTCAAAAGTGACTTTTATATATTCAACAGGTGCAAACTGTTGCATAGTAACAGAGGCGAGACTACCTGTTGGGTAGTTAGGATTTGACATCCTGCTGCTATTTTCAGAGCAAGGCAATCTATTTAACAAAGGCGGTATGATTTATTAGGAAATGAAAAAAAAGAAACTCAACAGGCATCCAAGTCTGTGTAAGCCAACGTTAGGTTTGCCATCTGTCATCTGCATACATACCTGTCTGCCTGGAATGCTGTTAGTTTGAAGGGATGTAAGAATACATCTTGGCACAAAATAAAGGTACATGAATGTGAAAATATGCATCGTGGAGCTGAAAAATGATCAAAGTATAAGCTAGATCTGATCAGTTGTGATCTTAAAAAGGAACATGTTTTTATTTGCATGCTTTAAATGAAAGAGAGCACAATCAAAGGCTAACGTTCTGACCTGTCAGAGGTCTCGAATGCTGCCTGTAGATTTTACAGTTTTAGAAAGAAGTCCTCCTGTGACTCCCTAATCTTAACCCAGTTTTTGTAGAAATATGGAAATTGGGGTTTGTGTCAAACTGAGAATGTTACTACACACAAGTTCAAACATGTGCGCCTTTTCTCTATGAGGACATTCTCAACTACACATTTTTATTATTCTGTTTATTTATATGTAGAATAACATTTCCCCTAATTTTACCCCTTACAAGTCCAACTTTGTTTGCAGTATATAAGTGTATTAAACCGTGATCCCTATATTGTGTAATACACTGAAACATGAGCTGACTGTTGCTACCCTCCTATTAGTTTGAGAGCCAAAGTGATGCCAGTCTATATGAAAGCTGCCATATTTTCACGGTGAACGAATTCAAACTGATGTGCAATTTGTTTGAACACGCCCTATGTAGGCTTATCCTAAAATACATTGTAGAATTAACTCTCCTTCACTCATTCGTGGTGCCTCACTTGAGTGACAAGCTAACATTGCTATAAGGCTACAAGTTTGCAAACAGCCATGTCTTTCTGCACCATATCTCCATCCATGGTGCTGAATCCAAAATGCTCTCTCCAATTACCTCTGAGATGGTGTCATGATTATCCATTCAGCACAGCTCTCATGTCCCTCATTTCCTTTTTACGTCAGCAAAGAGAGCATCGACAGTTCACTGAGGGCAGCAGGGCATGCAGTGGATCAGAGGTACAGTGTGTTTTAGGAACAACCCCACTGGATTACAAGGCACATCCTGTTGCTTTTCTGCATTGCAGAATATTAAAGTCTAATATATCTTAACAGATAAAATATTTTATGTTTTCCCAAGTCGAAATGCTAGTTTGAATTTCGAATAAAAATGACAGCCTACACCAGGCTGTCTACACCCATCAAGTATGACAACTTGTACCTTACCAATGCTTTGAGCCTTGACTGCAGCCCTATTGCTGCCTCAGGCACATTAACCAGTCAGAGGCCTCTCTCTGGCCTCGAGTGTGCTCCCTCACATGCCTCTTGGACACTGTGGAGTGTGATGGACAGCAAACTTGGAATTGAAGAAAAAGACAGGAGATATGATTGAATGAAAGCAGGCTAGGTGTAGATATAAGATTGGATGTAGGGAATAGAGGAGAGATGTGACGGGGGCAGAGTGTTTGAAGATGAGCTTGTTTGGGAGAGAGTGAAAGGATCAAATCATAGAGTGAGTGGAGAGGAGGAAGGAGCAAACAAGCAGCAAAGTCAGAGGAAGAGTGACAAGGACGGAATAGACAGCAGGACGACAGGCAGGGTGGAGTGCGACGAGGAGGAGAATGACGTACGCGATAAGGCAGAGTGACACAAATGTCACCATGCTAACCTTTCTTGCACTCTCACTCGCTCTCCTCTCTACTTTGCCTCTCTTCTTCCCCTCCTTCCAGATTTGAAGCCTTGCAGAGATGGCCACCAAATGGGCAGCATGGAAGCCAACATACACCCTCCAGCGACTAGCTTTCCACACCTAACTGCCACCACCATCTCCAGCCATCAGCTCGAACCATCCCAGCGAGGACTGAACCTGCAGAGTTGAGCCTGGACAAGCTCGACTGAGATACGAGAAGCCGTCTACGGGAAGTAGAGAAAAGCAGAGGTGACAAGCCTCAGAGGAGTTGACTTACAGCAAACCAATCAACCTGTTGAGCCTGCGATTGAGCTTCTAGGACTTAATCTGAAATGAAATAGGCTGCAGTGATGCTTGAGCAATGGTATGGAGCTTTTGGACATGTCCGGATTTATCGCCCGGATATCCTATCGAGATTACGACACTTTTGTGCACACCTCAGAGCTGGGCCACTCTTCCAGATTGGCTTGTGGGCAAAAGCGAGTAATTGAAAAGCCCCCCTCGAGAGGGTCTCTGTTCTGATTTGTTGTGGGGGAGGAGGGCTTTTTTTTTTTTTTTTTTTTTTTAAAAGGAACAATTTCAAAAAACCCTCCTTTTATCCCACATTTTCTCCCTTTTTTCTTTTTCACCATCTTTCTCACTCATTGTGGAGAAATACATTATGAAGCAGCACCATTCTTCTTCATGCTCCCTCTGTGACGGAGAGAGAGGAGGGACAGACTGTCCAGAATAGATAACGAGCAAGGAGACTGGCACTGAGGAGAGGAGAGGAGAAGGAGGGAAAAAAAGGCCAAAAAAGAGAAGGAAACAGGTAGAGAGAGAAAGAAGAAGAGGAAGCAAGAAAAGAAAAATAGAGAATTAACTAGGATTGTTTGAAATCCTCTTGGAGACTGAGAGTCTCTTTCTAATTCGCCTGTGCCGTGTTGGAGGCTAGTTAGCGCAATGGGCAGAGGAGGGGTCAGGATTTACACCAGGGGGGGCACTTGAGCAGGAGAGTAGGGTTATGTCCCCCCTGCACCTGCCTGGTCTGTATCTTAGTGTTTGGCAGCAAGACAGACTGAAAGATGGCCCGGTAAACAGACAGCTATACTGACAGACAAGCTCTGAGGCTTGTGAGACAGACAGACAGGAAGACGGGTACACTGCCTATTCCAAGTGTCAGGCAGAGAGCCAAGCAGACACCCAGTGCCGGCACAGTAGACAGCGTGCGATTCATTGTCATTCTATGCAGTGTGTGAGGAAGAGACAGAGGGAAGGGAAGAAAGCAGAGACAGAAAGAAGAGGAGCATCCCTCTATTTGTAGCTTCTGGAGAATCTCACTTCATCTGCATCCACCTCAGTCAGTGCTGTGGCAAGCCCATGCACTAAAAAAAAACAGGCTGGGAGGGAGGGGGCTGTTACTAGAAAGGAAATACAGGTTGGAGTGAGAGAAGGAGAGAGAGGGAGGCAGGCAGAGAAACAGAGGGAGAGAGCAGGTGTTGGAAATCCTCCCCTTCATCTGCTTGTCATTTACTCCTTTATGTTCTCTCGTCGTCTGGCGAGGTGATTGGTTTTCTGATGCCGGCATTCCTCTGCTCATAGGTCCCTCTGCAATCCAGAGAAAAACAAGAGGTGGGCAGACAGAGGAAAGCAAAAAAAAAAAAAAAGACAGCATAAAAGGAAAGGTGGAGCCCCATTTTGATTGACTAATTTTTCATCCCTTCCTTTTCTTATTTGTCAAGACGGGCTGTTGCTGTTCCCCCCCCCCCCTTAAAGTAAGAGATAGAAAGAAGAAAACCACGGGCCCAATCAATCCCTCATTTTCTTTGCACACAGAATCGAACCTCTCCTTTCATCAGTTGTTGATTTTTCTTGCCTTGCTCTGAAGGGATTATTTTCTCCATCTCAGTATAAACACTGGAATCCTCCTTCTGTACTCCCTCTATATGTCCTCACCCCCAGTGACACAGTGTGAACCCCTCTGACTCCCCCACGGCCTACCCCCCCCCCCCCCCTCTCCTCGGCTGAAGTGCAAAAACCCTGTGGTCTCAGATCTCCATGCCTGTGTTGACTCACTACTACAGCGATAATATGGCACAGCGCTTCTGATACCGTCTGATTCATTCTGTAAGTAGGACTCTCTCTCTTCCTATGTGTGTGTATGTATGTGATCACATGTGCTCTGCATGTCATTAGCATGTATTCAGCTCATATGTGCAGGAACAGGGATGTGGACCATGTTTCTGCAGTGTTGGTTTTATGGTGTCTTCACAGCGGATTTGCTTTCCTGTGCTTCCTCTGCTCCAGGCAATTTGAGCATGTGTGTGTGTGTGTGTGTGTGTGTGTATCTGCCAAAGAAAGAGATTTTGATCTTACAGCCAAGCTTACAACAGCATCAGAGTGGTGTCAGAAAGAGGCGAAGGAGGTGCCTTTCTCTGTGTGTATGTGTGTGTGTGTGTGTGTGTGTGTGTGTGTGTGTGTTCATGCCTACATATTGGTCCTGAGGTTAATTTGAACTAATTAGTGGTGAGTATTTTTGCTTCACAGAGCAGTTTTTTGGTTCTGTGTCAGTGTACTTGCATTCATTAGGGTGAGATGGAAGGGGGCTAAAACTGAAGAGGGTGAACCAGCTAATGAGAATGACTCGGATTCCCTGACTAGTTCTTTGTTGCCTCCATTTCATGTCTAATGCCCTGAGCATTACACCCCGGCTGCATGTCATTTCAGCATCCTTTTATCTCCTTATGTGTTGCCTTGGATGAAACCGTACACTGAGACCCAGCCTCTGCAATGTCCTGCATATTACTAAGCCCATCTATCTCCGCGGACACATCCACATCTTTATACACTCCCACAGTCACCAGGCCCTGCACCGGGAGACGCTCAATCAAGATAGTCCCTTCAAACAGACCAATGAACTGTGAATAACGCCATTACACAAACTCCCAGCTCAGAGCGTTACAGAGACAGAAAGATTGGGAGGGTGGAAAAAAAAAAGGAAAGAAAAAAGCGTGCATGATAGAGAATGAAAAACATTCTGGAGATTGAAGAACAAGAGCAGAAGGGGAATGAGAGAAGAGAGTGTGAGATGGAAAGCAACAGAGGGGAGGACACATCGAGGAGGGAGGGTGAGAAACAGAGAGGAAAAAGGGAGTGCGTGAGTCTAGAGAGGCCGCGGAGCAGGAAAAGACCTCTGCTCCATGGGAGCACTCTGATGGGCTTAGCAAGGCCCCGCTTTGTTCACACTGTTGGTCAGCCTCTCAGAATTAAGATTACTAAATAATACGATTACTGCAGCTGCACACTGATAACACACTGCTGCCGATTCCCTTTGTCACTGTCAGAAAACCCAGAGAAGAGAGAGGAGGACTGGCATATGATGGCATCAAAGGCATGACAGTACAGACTACATTACATTGTCACAAGGGCTCTTGCTTCACAACATGGCTCCTCTGCTTGACGCTGAGTTAAAGTGGAAAGAGTTGGTGTGACTTTTGATATGACAAGTGGCCATAAACAAAAGCACGCTGAGGCAGAAATAATATTAGCTGAGGTTTTCTCCTCAAATAGATGGATGATGTCATTATGTTCAATCATGTGACATAAACTTTAACTCGCCTTATCTTTTCTCAAGTTGTTAATGTTGCACTGTCAGCCCCAAGAGGGACTAAAAAAAACAAGTTAACAGGGAAACCTCTCAGTGTATTACCTGATTCCACATGTGTGAACATAAACCAAGGCTGTCATGGTGAAGCGTTTGCTCCTTATCTCGATGTTTTACACCGCATCCTCTGCGTGGGCTATTTGTTTCATGTTTCCACGCTTGACAGCTTTGACACGGATTCCCGCCAAGTTGACCTTGCAGTTTAAAGTGTAATAAAAGCTGAATTCCCAGGCTGTGTTGCAATTCGATACGTGTTCTTCGGGTAGCTGATAAATGGTCTCACACCCCTCTGGAGAGGGGAAAAACAAGCAGCCAGCAAAAACCGCTGTCCAGTCCTGCTCAGCGGAAGTAAAGTACAACCATCTGAAACCCACTGCTCCCAGAGTAGTGAGCTAATATCAGGGTTGGGCTGGGCTCAAACCCCCTCCTATGAAATATGAAGTATCTCTGCTCTTCTCTCAGCAGGAGAAACCATTTGCCTGCAGAGCTAAAGATTAGCTTGGAGCAGGAGACAGAAAAGATGCATTTAGCATGTGATGGTATTGTACAAGAGTAAGAAATAACAAACCATAGCATAGGGCACAAAACAATATCAATGAAATATGACACGGCACAAACACGGAGCTTAAAACAGCCCGAAAGCACTGCAGGATGGCAACCATTCGCTTCAGTTTCTGTCCATGTGCCGCACATTTGTCATCTCGTGGAGGTTTCATGTACATGTCATGCAGAGTATTTGCTTCTGTGACATCAAATGAACTTTGACCTCAGGCCTTCCCCAGCTGAGCCTCATAGTCACAAAATAACTGTGTGAGTCACTCCTTACAACCAGTACAGCTCCAGTCGAAAAGCATGCATGTTGAATTGCATGCACTCTGCTCAGCGAGCCCAGACACGCAGAAACAGAAAAGGCAATATGGAGATGATGCGCCAAATTATCAGTTACGTGTCCGTGTCATTCGGTCTCCCCTTCTTAAGTGCTTTCCACAGCAGCAGTGTACTGTGTTGTTACAGTGTGCTCCGATCATTTCACTCGACTTGGTCCAAATTGTGGCGGCAATGCACACGGTTTATAAGATAATCTTTCGCATTGGGTTTCAGAGCTTCCCATTGCCCCTGCTTGTACTGGTTGGGTCCTTTCAGATCAGCGATCCCATCATCCCTCAGGGTTAGATTTTCTAATCGCTGGTGTAGATTTTTCTTTTTCTGGTTGCAGCTTTTATTGTCCTTGACAATATCATTCCTTGATGATTCTCCGCTTATTGTATAGGCAAAATAACCATTGTCACATTGTCTGCATCATTAATAATTTTACAGTTTTTTGTTGGGAACAGCTGTTCTTTCTTCAAAGGTGGTCAGCAGCTGTTATTTCTTTAACTGTACTGCAATGTAGCAGGATATGCTTCTCTAATAGGTATACATCTAAAGTGTTATCGCGGGAATAGATAATCGTTAGACTGTTATCAACGCTGAATCCATCATCTTCTGTGACTGTCTTCTGCTGTCACACCCCATGATGCCTCTTGCGTGGCAGTTCACCCCTGAAGTGTCTCAGACAGCCCCTGCTCCAAAGAGAGCGGGGCTAATTTGGGATATGAGATCTCCTCTAACACTGAGCAGCACTTCAGTTTTCGTCTGCCTTCAATCCTCCGCCGCTTGACCACCAGCGCGAGGCACTGCAGCCTGCACTAAACCTTTGCTCCTCATTGCCTAATGGAGCACAAAAAATGGCCCTGTTTGCTTAGTCGTTTATCCACTCCTGCTTGCTTCAGGCTAGCTGGCCTTGGGGGGAAAGATTGACTGTGTGTGTGTGTGTGTGTGTGTGAGGAGGATGAGAAGAAATGGACATTAGGACACACATGCCCTTTCCATAATGTGCTCCCGGCTGGGCTGTTTGGCTGGCCATAAAGTGAATGCCGCTAATGGCCTCTCAGTTAATGGAGTCATTAAGATTGGATTGCAAGAAGATAAAAGCAATGTGTATAATGTGTGTGAACCGGGTGGAAGTGTGATCGTTTGTATACGTGTACTGTTACTGTAACCGCTTTGTGTATTTCTAGTTATTTAGTGCTTCAGTAGATACACCCACGACAACACTAAAGGAGGCAGTGACACTCTGCTGCATTAGCATTAGTAGAAAAGGTCAGTATTCTATCAGTGTAATTGTAATACGGTCTGAGGCTCAGGTGATCAGTCCTGACCCGGCTCGTCCTAATCAGCCGGCTGGCGGAGGCTCAGAAAGTCACAGCTATAATGTTTCACCGCTAGATTGCCGCTGCCTTGTGTGAGTGTGTGGAAGTGACAAAGACCTAAAAGCTTGATTTGAGGTCATTCCAGGACTTGTACCCGAGAGAATATAGCAAGACTGGCGAAAGGCATTCTGGGTAGTGTTGCGTGTTGTTTTCATGGTGGCATGACTGCTCATTAAGTCTGTGTCAATTTCTTGATTCTTACCAGAGGGTTCGCTCATGTCACTGTGCTCATCATGTTTTAAGCCTCAGCTGCGGCCCAGCTCGCCTCATTCACTTGTTGTATTCAGTGAAATGCAGCCTTTATTGCACCACAAGGGGAAGTTAGTTTGTAGGCAGAATTAACATTAAATCGCACGATAAAACAATTAAAACAGGATAGAAAACTCTTCATAATTAGGCCAGACAGAGAGTCAGTAGTTTGACTCCTCAACTTTTTGTATATTCACAGTTGTTTTTCTCAACTTTGCAAAGAAAAACTTTTTTAAAAACTCAAAATAGTATTACTACACTGTTTACAAAATATTTCACACTCACAAATCTTTGCCAGCCTCATGGGTAATACCCATATTTATCTGTCAAATGATGTCAGACCATGTATCAGAAGATCAGAAAATAAATTTCAAAGTGAAAGAGCGCACCTTTTTAATCTAATCAGTTACTAAGCAGACGCAGCCCGTAGCTGGAAAATGGAGTCTCAGCAGGGGATGTCATACTGCAATCACTGATCAAACCTGTCTGCAGACCCCTGAGGAGGCCTGAGGGGGTCACTCTACAAAATAAGAAAAACTGGTTTAATTTCACTGTTATTTTATTGCGAGGTAGGATAGTGTGGGCGTATTATGTTCGTAACTGTTGTGATCAGATACTTCATTATCATCACTCAGCACAGTATGAATAGTTGTAAATTATAGTGGATTGAAATTACACATGTATTTGTTTGGGGAGCCTTTTGTGAAGATGTCTGAAAACCCCATATTTAGATGGTGTTAATACAGCAGAAGAGCAATGTCTTTTTATTACAGTGTGAGCTGAAGCCCTCTGCAAGCAGTCTTGTACTGTTCATCCACTCTGGAACATTTCTACATAATTGCTTTTGTGTGAAAAAATTGTTCAAAAGTCATTCAGGTAACAGCGTTGTCAGCCTTGGTCTAGTGAGTCTATTTTAAATTTTAATGATTCACTGTTGCTCCTGCTGAGCGGCAGTTTGCCTG